ACACCTGGGCCCAAATTAGGACCATTTACTCAAACTCTAAAGAGAAAACTGGTTAAAATAAAGTAAAACTAACTTCTTTTAAAAAGTCATTAAATAAAATTTTCAAAGCACATTTTTAAGCTACTATTTTACCAAAGACTTTCTAAAACCTGAAATCAGAATTTATAAACAGGTTTCTAGTACCAAACCTATGCAGTAGTAAAGGTTAACAGTAAAATTACCTTTACTATTGCAAACCCTCTATCAAATTTTAGAGATTCTATTAATTTAGAAGGAAAAACTAACTAAAATAAAAATAATAAAAAAAACTATAAGACTGCTTAATGAATGTCTAAAAATCAATGAATATTTAAAAACATTTAAAATTCTACCCTTATGAAGGAAATTCTGACACATTACAATATGGAAAAACCATGAAAATATGCTAACTGAAATAAGTCGATCACAGAAGGTCAACTATTGGATGATTCTGTTTATATGAAGTAGAGTGCAGTTCACAGAGACAGCAAGGAGAATGGTAGCTGCCAGGGACCAGAGGGGGTGGAGAACAGAGAGCTGGTGTTAATGTGTAGTAGAGTTCAGCTGAGGAAGGTGGAAAAGTTCTGGAGATGGATGGTGGTGAGAGCTGCACAACGATATGAAAGGGCTTAATGCCACAAAACTGTATGCTTAAAAATGGTATGTATGGTAAATTTTATAGTATGTAACTCAAATTTATCCTTTTACCTTTTTGTCCTCTGTTCTCTTCTGTTTCACCCAAAGGCAATCCTTGCACTGTAACATCTTTAGAAAAACCCTTTTGGATACAAAAGGAAGAAATGAAGGGCTAAATAAACTTTACGGTTTATTACTTACCAAGTGCTATTTAATAGCCATGACTACTGTTTTGGGAGCACAGGCCTGTGTGCTTTATATACTTAATTCCCACCACCACCTCAATGCTTAAGTACCCTGAAGCTATTCAAGGGTTTGTTGAATGAATTAGTGAACTGTCAGATAAGTGAACGAGTAAATTAACAAAGCAAGCGACTGTGGCCCTAAAATTCACCTTCATACCCCAATTTGCCACTTCTAGGAGAAAATTATGTAACATCTCAGTTGCTACTGAGCTGAAAGTGAAAATCTGATTCCCAGTGAGTCTAATGGAGTACAGAAGGATGGCTAATGCATGGCACAAAATCACAAATTAATCACAGCACTCTTTGTCAGTGAGCTTGTGATCTCTGATCTCAGAAGGCTTCTCTATGTAGGTCATACCTACTGACAAAGAGCCTTCTGTTCACATGTGCAACCTCATCTCTAAGATTACATTGCCTGTTGCTAATCAAACACAATTTAAGTACACATTATTTGACAATACTGAAAATTTTAATGTGAGCATAATTAAGAATCTTTTGCTTACACTTTCTGACACAGGGGACTTTTTAAATGGAGGCTGGTGATAATTTCTAGCAGAAGCTAAGTCTGATGGACCTACCAAAATAAAGACATCAATTTTAGTTATTTTCAAATCAGAAGATTACATTAGAAACTGTACAAGCAGGACTCAAGAACTATAAAGCCCATTTTAATGCAAGACTTAAATTGGAAGCCATTTTTTTTTGCAAAAAAACTTAGGAAAACAAAGTTTTTACAGCTCATATTTTGGGAAATATGGGTCAGTACTGACAATCAAGTGAAATAAATATAAAATGTTTTAAAAGATATCATTACACTGTTAGATTTGGACTAACTAGGACGAAATCACTTGTCATAAGTAAAATATGTACATAATATAAAAACCTGATTTAATATCAGGCATATGATATGCTGTACCACCACCCTGCCCCAAAGCAGCATTATAAAAGCATTTTTGTTTTTGCAAATATATTCATTAATTTGATCCAAACAAGTACCCATGAACTGTGTAAAGCACATCTTATCCACCTTTTCACAGATCTCCTCACGGGTTAAGTGAATTGGAACATGGAAGCCATCAAATGGCTAAGTTGTGCTTTTCTACTATGCCAAACTGGGTATCATAATTCAAATACAAGGTAGGGTATTTGGTAAACAGCTCTAGTGATGAAAAATAAGTTCAGCATGCAAGTTAAGTGTGTCTATCACAAATGTGAACATGAACAGTTACAAAAGCCACACAAAGAAAAAGCACAATAGGAAATGTTCAAGTTTCATTCATTCTATCTGTCCAATACTATTAGATGAGGACTGTGCCTGGCCATTTTCCCAGGGAAAATGATGAGTTTTCGACATCTGTACAAACTAGACATACAGTAAATAATCCTCTAAATTTTGAAACACAGAAACAACTAAATGAAAATAAATATTAAAGATTTCAAACATGAAAACTGGAAACACTATTTGGCATCACATACCACGTAACATTCCATTCGAGCTAGTTCCCGTTCTAAAAGGAAGACGTTTATTTGCAGACAACGCTGGAGGAACACAGGACAACTCATCTTTCAGCAAAGTCAAATTATCTCCCTGATTTGGAGAAACTACCTCACGGAGCCTCTTCGCTGGTATTTTAACCTTTTTTTTCTTTTCCGGGCTAACCTCAGGAACTTTCATATTATTGTTAATAAAACTAGTCTCGCAGTTCTGAATAAAATTTTCTCCTGGGTCCACGAAACTTCAGAACAGCGCTGAGGACTGGAGAGGAGGTAGGGTAAGATGCAAGGGGTGGGGGGAGTGTGATAGAGAAAACGTGAATTTCAAGTAGTTTTGAAATATGCAGTAATCAACTTTTAAATAAAACAATGTCTAAACAGAATATTCGCAAAGCTAGAAATTGTAATTTTGGTATTTAATCCAGCACCAGAGACTAGAGCACCACTTTTACCCATTAATCCCACTCAGTCTACTAATGTACCATGCCAATGAATCTGAAAACGAAGATGCCAAGAGAACGGCTGCATGAGCAATAAAAACAGTAACAGTGCATTTCCCAAACCGAGAGCTGTTGGCAAGGCAAAACCAAACAGATGTGGAGGCGGAGTTAAGATTTGTTGCGAAAAGGGAGCCAAGCGGGTAAAACCCAAATGCTATTTTTTTAAAACATCGCCCACGTAACACGCTTAATAGCTTTCTTCTGCCAATGAGTCTCACACAAACCCCCAGCTGCAACCGCCGGACACATGAATTCACCCCTCCAAGTCACCAGAACACCGCGACAACGCACAGCTTTCAAACAACAGCTTCAGTTACCCGCGGGTCAACACCCACTTCCTTTTAAGCCCGCCCTTTAGATATAACGCGCATGCGTATCTAGAATATTGTCCGAAACAGCCAACCAAAAATCTAAAGGTGCTTCCCCCATCCCTTTCCGGGCGGAAACAAACTTCCAACGTTAGAGGCTTAAAACAGGTGTGAATTTTTTTAAGGCAGTACATTGCCCTACAAGATTTAAACGTTGGCTAAAACCCGAGAGAGACTCATCGAAGACCCACAGAGCTCCAGACCTAACGGGTAAAACCAGTCGCATTTATTAGGGACCCTTTACTGCGTGGCTCCTGGAGACCGTTGGGGACGCAAATTAAGTAAATTAGTCTTTCAAAAGTTTCGGCGGATTCGGGTTAATATTGGCGAGGAAATTAGGAATAGGGAACATTGTTTAAGGAGATAATCACAAAAATTACTTTCTGGGAATTTTAGAATTATAGGCTAATACATGCTTTTTTCTCTAAAGTTCCCCTCGTTATAACGAATCAGCGTCAAAGGGTCTAAGGGCTACTTGACAACGCTGCTCCCACGTGTTCTTTGCCATCCAGCGGCTGCGCCGCTCGCCGTGACCCCGACCCTCTGCCCCCGGACTCGACTGTCAGCGCAGTCCTCCCAGCCTCGTACTGTTGTCGGAAGCGAGAGCCTGTGCTTAAGTATGATCTCTTTTCTCTGCCCTGAGAATCCCGGGTTCCCGGGCGGGGGGCGGCAGGCTACGCTCCAGAAAGGTGTCAGGTCTCTGAATGAGGCCGCCGCATATTCGTGGGGCTGTGGAGGGCTGCGGAGCTGGGCAGCGGGCCATCCACCCCCAGAGCAGGTTTGAGACCAGCCCAGGCGACCGTGTCACTGGGGCTAGGGCCCTAATCTGAGGCTCTCAGGCACATCAACCTGGGTTTGAGGAGTCGGGGTCTTGTTCTGAGACAGTGAGACTGAGAGGCATCCACGCCTTGACCTTGAGCCAAGAGGCAGGAAGAGCCTCCTTTAACTGAAAAATCCACCCTGGGTACTTACTGCTAGGCCAATATCTTTACCGTATCTGCTCATTTTCCATTTTCAAGGACGTACTACTTAGATGATTCCCTTTAGGCATTACGAGAGGCTTTAGAAAAGATCAAAGCAAAAAATGTAATCTGATGTAAAAGCTAAATAGCACATTTGATGTTTACATCTCAGCTGTCTCCTTTCATAGAAGAAATCCTAGAATTAAAAAACACCTTAAGGTCTCAGCTTTGGAAAACCTTTTAATTCTTTGCAAGTTATGTCTTATTTCAGTTACATTTCCCTCTTCATTACTTGGCTCTTAGGTAGTTAGTACCTGCTTGTTCACAATTTGATTTATAATATAGGTGAGTTAAAAGATAAAATGATAATGTCAGAGCTGTAAGAAACTTTGGAGATGATTTAACTCCCTTATTTTCTAGGTGTATCTTAGATGTGAAAGAAGTCTCTAAGGTGTGAGCATAGGCAGTCTTTACGAGTTGAATAATGACTTGAATTGGGTTGAAACCCAAGTAGTCTTGCCCCCATTTAGTCCAGTGCTCATAGTATTATCCTTTAAGACTTGAAGCCAACCTTTAAAACCGAAAGCAGTATACAGTCATCTTTCAAAAGAATTTTTTGCTCTGATTAATTAGTTACCATTTAATTAGGTATAACTTTCTAAATTGCTATAAATAATGTAAAGGGACATGTGGTAGAGACCTATTAAATTCTATCAAGCAAAGAAGTTAGTTCAGGTCAATTTAAACATCTGACTATGGAATAAAAGACACTGATAGCTCTGGAGCGAAAAACATGGCTCCCAGGATTGTTTTTCTTTTTTATTGTTATTGTTTTATTGTTAACATTTTTTCTTATTTGCTATCTCTTTTCCACTCTCTGTATATATACATAGAGTTTTTTTGCTGAACCATTTGCAAGTCAGTTGCAGACATCATGACCTTTAACCCTAATTTCTTCAGTCCATTAAACAGCCAGGATGAGGTTATCACCCCTAAAATGATGACATAGTCAGATTTTCTCCAATCATCTCCAAAATGTCTGTATTTTTTTTAACTTAAAGATGTTTCTTTTTTGATTCAGGATCCAAAGTTCACAATTGTATTTAGTTTTCATGACCCTTTGTTTCCTAATCTAGAACAGTCCTCCATGCCTCTTCTTTATGAGTTTTTAAAAAGACCAGTCCGGTCTTACAAATTGTCCCATATGGTGGATTTTCCTAATTGTTCCCTCATCATCAGAGTCAGACCATCCATTTTTGGCAAGAATACCACATAGGCGATGCTTTGTCTGTTGTGTCTGTGATGCTGGGTATAATCACTTGTTTCAGGTGATGACTGCCTGATCTTTCCACTATAGAAGGACAGTTTTCCTTTTGTGATAAGTAACCTCTGGAGATGCTTTGAGACCATGGATATATCCTGTTTCCCAGCAACCTATCACCCAGTGGTTTTATGGTCCATTCATGATCTTTGCCTGAATCACAAGATTACCAATGATCAGTACCAATCATGCAAGTACCAGGTTAGTGATGGAAGCCAAGGACAGCAGAAGAATCATTTGCTTTAACTATTTTAACAGAACTAGAAATTTGGCTCCAGACTTAGTACCAATCTGCTTATGATTTTTTTTAAGAGGGCAGACATCTCTCCCATAATATCCTATATAGTCTGTCAATTTCTTTCTAGTAAGTATCCAGAAGTTTCTGGGAATTGTTTTTCTTCTACAGTGTTCACCTGAACATACTTACTACCTGGAAAGTAAGGATATTATGTAATTTTTAATACATATAGTAACATGTTAAATATTTGTAACCTCAGAATAGATTGAGGAAACTAATGCCACTTATTGAAAAGGAAGGGGCTTTTTTCTTTCTATATAACACTGTTAGTTTCAGGTGTACATCTGTGTATGTTGCAGAATGATTGCAATAAATCTAAGGAAGAGGCTTTTTAAAAAATTATCTAGCCATCAGAAGTTTAGATTTCGTCAAATAGATATTAGCGTTTGAAGGGGTCTCCCAGTCATTGTAATCCCATCATTTTTCAGATAAGAAATCAGGCCTCACTGGAGTCATTCAAGCAAAAGTTGGACAACTACTTTTCCAGAACAGAAAGAAAACTCATGCGTCAGAAAAGGTTTGAGCTTGATGGCTGATAAGACCTCCCTTTACTCTTAAGTTCCCTGGTTTTATGATATATCTGATTTGGCACAAAAGTAATTTAGCATTGCTATAGTCATTCCCAAGACCTAAGCCAGGGATTCTGGAACTCGCTTATTCCCTCCCTCCATCTCCAGGTTTCAGGAATATAATCAAAAGGTACCCCCTCATTACATGTTTACCTCTACAATAACAAACATTGAATATCTGGAAACTAGGACCAAGTACAAGGACAGCCACATTGCCACTGCCTATTCTCGCCATCAGTGGTTTGCTTGGCTGTTGGAGGTTGTCAGTCAGAATAATTTATGATTAAATAACTGCAAAGGAATACTGAAGGACTTACGAGATACCAAAGTAGCAAATAAATTTGCAAATCACTCCTTCAGTCATCTTCAGTATTTTCTAGGAATAGTTGCCTACCATTATATGGACTGTAAGCTTGACACACCGATACTCCAGAGATACAGTGGGTTCGGTTCCAGACCGCTGCAATAAAGGGAGCTGTGATCTTTTTGCTATTGGAGGGTCTTGCTTTGAATTGTAAAAACACATCTGTGAAGCACAATAAAGCAAAGCACAATAAAATGAGGTATGCCTGTATCGATGACTACAGAGAAGAGCTTTAGAAATTTAGGCAGACTTAAGAAAATTATTGACTTAGTTCTTGAGTTCAGTGGTAGGTCTGGGAAGACATTTGAAAAATAAAATTTATAACTGAATGATTCTAGAGAAGAGGAAACCATAATGTTAATACAGTGGTCTTTGAGTAGTGGAAGTATTTCTCTTATTTTCCAAATTCTCAAGAAATAGAGTATTACTTTTATAATTTGATAAATTTTATTTCATTTTAAGGAAATATATACTGTTAAGAACTGTGTGTTAAAAGATAATATGGAGAAAATAATTTTAAATGAAGAAGATTCATACCAATATGACTGGGGCATTCTTCATCTATGTCTTGTCAAATAACCATCATTTATCACCCTGCTCACATACTAAGGGGCAACTGGGATAGGAGAGTGGTAACAGTCTCCGAAACTTACAGAACATTCAGAGACTTCATACTTTCTGCCTCTGACCTCTGATTGTAAAAGTTGTTACCTATGAATTTTAACCTGAAGTGATACAAGGATAAGAATAGGAAAAAGAACTAGATTTTTGGCATCGCAATTAGCAAACATGTAAATTTCCTAGGTATTTATAAGTAAGGAAATCAGATTTTTTTTGTGTGTGTCAGTTGTAGAAAGTCTAGGTCACTGCCTGTCCTGAACTACAGCAAGTATGCCCTACAGTTCAGTAATTCAGAAGGCCAGGGTCTTATGGGCGCCCTTTTGTGCTGTCAGCTAAAGCCCATTGGTAAACGAAGTTCCTTAATGCATTTTTTATTGCCAGTGTATTTTTTTAAACTACCACAAAACAATGTGTTTCATTTAATACCTACTTCTACAAAAGTTATCTTACCAGTTCTTGGATCTTTTCAGACTGTTCTGAATTGTAAGTTGAAAGAATTCTATTATCATGAGCGTTTGCTACATCTACCACATTGGGTCTTACTCTTCTGGCAGGGATTACAGAGTTAGACAATCTCACTTTCTTCTTTCTTCTGAAGCTTTTAATTTTAAGATTATTGTACATTTACATGCAGTTGTAAGAAAAAATTGAGAAATCACTTGTGCCATTTACCCAGTTTTCCACAATGGTAACATTAAAAAAAAAACTAGTACAATGTCACAACCAGGATATTGATATTGATACAGTCAAGATACAGAATATTTCCCTCACAAAAGTTGCCTTTTATAGCAACACCCATTTCCCTCCTACCCCGACCCCTCCTTAACCCCTGGTAATCACTAATATGTTCTCTATTTCTGTAATTTTGTTTATTTAAGGACGTTGTATAAATGGAATAATACAGTATGTGACCTTTTGGGATTGTTTTTGTTTGTTTTCATTCAGCATAATTCTTCAGAGATTCGTCCAGGCTGCTGTGTGTGTCAGTACCTTATTCCTTTTAATTGCTGAATAGTGTCCCATGTATGGTTCACTGACTTAACCATTCACCCGTTTAAGAACAACTGGGTTATTTCCAGTTTTTGGCTGTTACAAGTAAAGTTTCTATAAACATTCATGTACAAGTTCCTATGTGAATATGAGCTTTCATTTGTCTATGGTAAATGCAGCTGCTGGGTCTGCAGCTGCTGGGTCACATGTTAGATGTTTAGTTTTGTAACACACAGCTATACTGTTACCAGAGTGTCTATATGATTCTACCTTACCGCCAGGAATATGTGAGCGATCCGGGCTTTCCACATGCTCGCTAGCATTTGGCATTGTCACTACATATTTTTAATGGCTAAATTAAAATTCATTTTTATGGGTGTATAATGCTCTGTCACTGGTTTTGTGTTTCCCTAACAGACTAATCATGTAGATCTTTTTATGTGCCCAATTACCATCTGTATTTCCTCCATAGATAAAACGTCTTCTAATGTCATTTGCCCATTTTCTAATTGGATTGTTTGTGCATTAATTGTTGAGTTTGAGATTTCTTTATAGTTTCTAGTTACTAGTTCTTTGTCAGTTCTTTTCCTTTGATGTCAGGTCTAAGAACTTGTCCCAAAGCCCAAAGATTTTCTATTTTTCTAAAAGTTTTAATATTTTCATATTTTACATTTAAGTTTCTGGTCCATTTTGAATTAATTTTTATATAAATTTTTGGAAAGACCTAGTGTGAGGTCAAATTATTTTTATAAAAAGGTTTGTTTTTTAAGATTTTTAAATTTTTTCTTCCAGGGGAAGGGAGGGAAAAAGAAAGGGAGAGAAACACCCATGGCTTGTCTCTTGCAAGCACCTCTATCGGGGACCAGGCTGGGGACCCAGGCAGGTGCCCTGACTGGAATCGAACCAGCGAACTTTCACTTTGTGAGCCAACAGCCAACCAACCCAGCTACACTGGTTGGGGCAGTTCGAGGTTAAATTTTTTGTCTGTGGACTGAGAATTGTTCCAGCACCTTTACCAAAACTAGGCGGGCATGTTTGTGCGATTCTGTGTCCGGGTTCTCTGTTCTATTCTGTGGATCTGTGTCTGCCCCTCCACCACTTCCACCACACGGTAGTGATTGATGTAGCTGAGTCTCCATTTCATCGGCACTTTTTAACTTCAGTGACCATGTGTTTAACTGCAAGCATATAGAAAGTAATTGATATTTAAAAATTTGTCTTACATCCTATGACCTTGCTGAATTTACTAGTTCTAGGAATTTCTTTGTACGTTTTTTTTAGATATTCTATGTTTGCAATCATGTCATCTGTAAATAGGAACAGTCTTATTTTCTTCCCTTAGAACCTGGATGCCTTTTATTTCCTTTCTTGCCCTGTTACTGCACTAGGTAAAAAGTCCAGCAGTACGGTAAGGGCAGTGACGGCAGACATCTCGCTTGCTCACAATCTTAGGGGAAAGTGTTTAGTCTTTCACTATTAAGTGCAGCGCAGGGCTTCTGTACAGGCTCGTTACCAAGCTGCAGAAGTTCCCCTCTTTTCCTAATTTTCAGAGAGTTATAAACATGAACGGGTGTTGAATTTGTCAAGTAGTTTTTCTGCATCAAATAACATGACCATATAACTTTTCTCCTGTAGTCTATTTCTTTTACATGCTTTGAGTTTATTTTGCTCCTTTTTAGGTGCTTGAGGTAGAAGCTTAGGTTGTTGATCTGAGAGGTTTCTTTTCCAATGTATGAATTTAGTGCTATAAATTCTCTTGGAGCTGAGTTAGCTCAGTTAACACAAATTTTGATATGTTGTATATTCAGTTTCATTCAGTTCAATGATTTTACCTTTCCCCTTGAGACTTCCTCTTTGACCCATGGGTTATTTGGGAATCCATTATTTGTTTACCAAATGTTTAAAAATTTGCATGTTCTCTCTCTTTTTTTTATTTATCTTTAGAGGGGACGGGAAGGAGAGAGGGAGAGAAATATCAATGTATGGTTGCCTCTCGTGCGTCCCCTGCTGGGAACTGGCCTGCAACCCAGGCATGTGCCCTGACTGGGAATCGAACTGAGATCCTTTGGTTCGCAGGCCCGCACTCAATCCACTGAGCTACACCAGCCAGGGCTGCATGTTCTCTTTATGTTACTCATCTCTAGTTTGATTCATTGGTGGTCAAAGAACACACTTGGTATGGTTTCATTTCTTCTAAAATTTGTTGAGGCTAGTTTTATGCAAACCCAGGATATTGGTCCATGGGCACTTGATAAAAGGTCTTCTGTGGTACTGGGTGAAATGTTCTGTAAGTATGGATTGCACCCTCTTGGTTGATGGTATTGAGTTTTTCTACATCTTTGCTAATTCTCTGTCTAGCTGTGCTATCAGTTGTTGAGTGGGATGTTGAAGTCTCCAACTATAATTGTGGGTTTGTCTCTCCTTCCAGTTCTGTCAGTTTTCTCTACATATTTTGCAGCTCTATTTGATGTATACACATTTAGAATTACCATGTCTTTGTAGTGGATGGACCCTTAATGGCCTTTTCCATCTTTAGAATATCCTTTGCTCTGGAGTCTACTTTGTCTTACATTAATACAACATTATTTTCTTTTGATTAATGTTTTAAAGTATATTTTATTGATTATGCTATTATAGTTTTCCCCATTTCCCCCCTTTATCCCCACTCTACCCTGCACCCCCCAACCCTCCAGCATTCCCACCTTAGTTCATGCTCATGGGTTATACATATAAGTTCTTTGAAATCTGTTTCCTATATCATTTTTTCCTCTCTCCATCTATTTTATGCCTACTAATTATGCTGCTTCTTCCATGTGCCTTTCCCCCCAATTCCTCCCGTCCCCCTCCCCACTGAAATGCCTCCATGTGATGGTGATGATGTCCATTTATCTGATTCTGTTCCTATTCTAGTTGTTTGCTTAGTTTTTGTTTTATTGTTTTTCCTTTTTTTTTAGGTTCATTTGTTGATAGTTG